TTACGTAGAGACACGATTTTATGCACTTCCCATTGCTATTGCCGGTCCCCTTGTATGATTTCCATAATGAAGATGTGTCTGAAAAAGGATAAAGAAAATGTAATGAATATGTGATATTTGAATCTTTTTTTTTATTTTTCTTTAAACAGACAAGCAATCTTTGGAAAAATATTTAAAATCTAGAATTTTAGTACAGGAATTGTTTAAGTCTTGAAATGATTTAATAAGCTCCTGCAAATGACCATTTGAGAACCTACCAAGCGAGTCTGCAACTCACTTTGATTTAGAAGATCTGATAATAGGCCCTGCAATATAGTGCAGGTGAGGATATTTTCTGTTATAAAGTGTGATTTTTAGCTTTTATTCCAAAAATAACCGAACTTTATATTTAAATCATACAACATACAGCGCCATCTATTGAAAATTTGCAACATTAAAAAGGTACATTCATCCTCTTTCAAACGCACCGAACATCATGTAAGTCGGATGACAGCCATTTCAATAAAGCCGAAAGTGTGCTAATGGTTCAAAAATAAAATGGAACAAAGAGCAAATATAAAATTTTGTGTCAAACTTGAAAAAAAAATTAACGAAAAAAGTTTATTGTGATGATTGTATGAGTCGTACGCAAGTTTATACGTGGTTTACACGATTTAAAAATGGTTGTGAAGATTTAAATGACGACCCTAGAGCAGGACGTCCAGAAACTAGTAATCGTGCTGAACTGGTGCAAAAAGTCCGTGAAATCAATGGTATCGATGCAAATTTTACTAGGAGAATGTTAGCTGAGGAATTAAATACGAGTAAAAACACTATTTGAAGAATTTTAACTGAAGATTTAGGGAAAAGAAAGATCTGTGCGCGATTTGTTCCACATGAATTAAATGACGACCAAAAAATCGCTCGAATTTTTAATGAAAAAAGGGATTTCTCTCATCGACCATCCTCCGTATTCGCCTGATCTATCACCATGTGACTATTTTTTATTTCCAAAAATGAAAACCAAGATGAAGGGAGCATTTTATGATGATATCCCAGCCATTCAAGCAGCCGTAACGGAGGTACTGAAGAACATTTCTATAAATGACATAATAAAATCTATGCATGCGCTGGTTGATCGTTCCAATCGTTGTGTTAAGTTAAATGGAATTTTGAATAAATAATAACTTTCAAAGATAATATAATATGTATTTTATTTTATATCCAAAAAGTTCGGTTATTTTTGAGACACACCGTGTAGTTTGAACAACTGACGAAAGTTTCGTGTTTCACAGTCAAACATCTTCAGTTTGGTCTATAATTTAACCCTGAATCGTATTACAAAACGAACAACGCTTGGAAATTATTGAATTTTATTATCAAAATCATTTGGGCGCGTAAATAAGCAGAATTGTCGATTTTGGAGTGAAGATAAGCTAGAAGCATTGCAAGAGCTACCAATCCATTCAGAAAAAGTTACCATTTGGTGCGGCTTATGGACTGGTGACATCATTCGGCCGTACTTCTTCAAAGGTGATGCGAATCGTAAAGTAACTGTGAATGGTGAGCACTACTTTGGGATGACATCAAACTTTTTTTGCCCTAAATACAAGAGTTTGACTTACATGAAATGTGGTTTCAACAAGACGGTGCCACATGCCACATAGCACGCGTAACAATGGACTTATTGTGAGTCGAGTTCAGTGAACATTTATTTCACGATCGTACGATTTAAAGCCTTTAGACTATTTTTTGTGAGGCTATGTTAAATCGAATGCCTATACAGACAAGCCCGCTTCAATTGACGCATTGGAGGGCAACATTGAAGCAATTATTCGTCAGATACCGGCCGAAATGTTGGAGAGAGTATGCCAAAATTGGAATAAGCGGATGAACTATTTGAGGCGCAGTACAGGTCGACATTTGCATGAAATAATCTTCAAACATTAAGTTATATGGACCGTACTATCGATTCCAAATAAGATTTCATGCATTTTTCCGACCCTTTATAAGAACATTCTTGAAAGCCTGATACTTCTCAATGCCGAGTGGAATATACCTCTTTCGTTGTAGTTGCAAAACAATTACGAAGGTAAGCCACCTCAGAACTAGCAACAAAGCTGATTAATATAAATAATATCGTAAAGTATCTAGCACAATCACTGATATTTTATTCAACTGAGTATTAATAGTAGGATGAATAGAGAAGGTATGAATCGGGACACAAAAAAACTTTAAAACTAAAGAAATGCCTGATTAAGATTGCATTAGCAATTTTATTGCTTCCATCCCGAGGAGGTACAATGAGGTTATTAAAAATAACGTTAGATAAAATATTAATAATAATTAATTATTGCAATATGTTTTGTCGCACTCAACATTAAACATGTAAGTCATGTAGCCTTGGGGTCAGAATTGAAACCGACAAAATTCTGTCGAAGGGGTTACACATTCCGATTATGAATTTGGATGTCAGTTCCATTTCCGAAACAGAAACTGTGTTGGTTTTTGGGTGTTGCAGAAACATAGTTATCGGTTTAAATATCAGAATTAAACCGATCAGTTAATAAAAATGTAAGTCATGAACAATGGATTTTACAACCAGCAATGTCTGGAATACAAGCAGTACATTTTCAAAAGCCATTAGCATTTCTGTTATAACCACCGAGACTGCAGGTCGCGCTATGGACCGTTAATAGGTACCTGCTGTCAAAAACCGAAGTGTGGCTGCAAGTTGGAGTACCTGTGGGATATACAGCCTATCTAACTGGTCTTCAATGACATCCAGCACTATTACAAAGGCTTCTTTGCTTAGACGCTGTTGGTCTATTAATCTACATAAAAACATAATTTGTATCAGCAAATATGAAAGTAGAATGCTTAACTGCACTTACATTGACTCTGGCAGCTCCAACGTATTGCTCTTAACCCGTTACAATTTTACGCCTTATTTTCTGGATTATTTTCCGAAATCCTTCTATCATCAAAAATGCTATAACTACCGAAGGGATTTTATTTTTAATAATCACAAATGTGTAAATATTATAAAATCACAAAAATTAAATTGAAATACTGGGTTTTTTGCACAAGTGTGATGGCAGCTGTACGGATATCGGTTTTGCTTGCCTTCGAAAAAAGCAAAAATCAAGTTGATTTCATAACACCATTTCAAACAGATATTGATTTTCAATGCCGATAAACAGGCAATTCTGTGTCGGTTTCTATAACACCCCTGATTATATTAAAAAAAAAAAGATATTAGTGGAAACCAGAGATGGTACTGGCAATCATGGGTATTAATTAGTCCAATATATTCGTGTATTTTCGGCGAAAAATTATCGCTTTCTGCGTATAAAAATAGAAATTCTCCACATCATTCCTTATCAAAGAGTTTTTAAGCGTCTACATATTAATGAAGATTTCATATCTAAAATTTTACAAAAACATAATCCAATAACTTACCTTGAGAGCCTGGTGAGCTCATCGATAACACTAAGCGATCGAACTGTATAATCTCCTTACTCCTGTCACACTCGTTTCATTTCCAAACGTCTTTAGTTGCTTTAGTCGTTTTTCTGTTCTCAATGCATACATTTAAATGTGTGAGTATGTTTGATGTTGGTATTTCATAGACAAATACTTAATCTTACATTTTTTTAATAATTTTTTTTTTACTTAAGATTCTTTTATATAACTTCTCTTGTTCTTTTGTGCGTAATAATGATTTTTTTTTGTTATAAAATGAATAAAAATTAATAAAATTGTACTGAAATAAAATAAAGAAAACTTTCTTTGCGATTCCGCTTTGTGCTGTAGGGTAAAAAACGGTTGAAAATGTAAAAAGATGTGATTTTTAAAAATTTTTGGTAAAACTAAAATTTAATGGAGCAAATTTTTAATTTTGGAAAAGGTTTGTATGGCATCAAAAAATTTCCGTAGCAGCGATATTGTTGGATTTTTCTATTAAACAAAATTTTTTTTCATTTAATTTTTTTTGTAAATTGGAATTGGAATTTTGGCAAGTAATAAAAAAAAATGATAATCATAAAGAAATAAAACAAAATAATTTGATTTGTTGAATATGTATGTATTTTGTATTTATGTAAACTTTATAAATTGTCGCCTGTTTTATGTTATAAATTAAGATTTGTAAATAATTATGTATTTATAATTTATATATAGTACTTAAGTGTATATAAAATAATACATAGTAATTGATAATGGTTTAAAACTAAATAGTACCAAATTCGTTTGGGTTGATTTTTAAAAGGTATGTGTAAACAAATAAATGTACATATGTATGTATGTGTATACTTAATTTTATTATACGAATTAACAAAAGTGTTTATTACTTTGCAGTGCGTTATATATACATATGTATGTACACAGTTTTAATTACGTGGCATAAATTGATTTTTTATATTAATTTTTTTTAACGATTATTGCAAAAGGACATGTGCTTCAACTGAAAAATAACATATATATGGAATGAAGACCTGGCTAATTTTAAGATTTGTTTTTCTTCTTCTTTTGTTTTTGGAAAGTACGAAAACTTTTTTAAAAATGTTTTATTTTGCCTTTTTTTTGTGTTTGATGAAAACTTATTTTAATTGAGACCGAAATTCGTATACGTACAGTATGTATATTTGTAAATTTGTTTGAGGCTTTCAAAGTAAATTTATTTACTAACTTTTGTTTAAGCAAGTTTTTTTTTCGCATAATTATCATAAATGAGCGAATAATTAATTTTAATTTTTTTAATTCATTATTTTCCACTAGAAATTAAAATGACTTTCTTCATAACTTAAATTAAATTTTTCTTTTAATTAAGTAATCTTCTTTGCATTATATGTATAATATAATGTTGTAGCAACTTATTAAAGAAATTTATGATTTTATAATTACTCATATTTCACAACAAACATTTTCATTTGTTTACATTTTTTTTTATTTAAATATATATGTACAGTGGAAAAAAATTAATTTACTTGCTACTCAATTCAATTTGTATATTTGTTATGCTGGGTAAATCTTAATTAATTTTTGGGTATTGCAATTATTTATGTAATTAAATTTTTTTTTAAATATTACATTTTGAGTTGTCATTTCTACTATTCTTCGTCGGCCTTTGACGTATGTAATTTACAAAATCATAAATTAAAAAATATGTAATTATTTGTTAATTTTCTTTTCATTTTTATAACACCTTTTAATTTGTTGTATAAAAAATATTGCAAGCAATATTTTCCTATCAAAGCTTAAATAAGCTTTCGTGCAAGCTTTCACTTGGAGCTTAAATATATTTTATATTTGCTCCACTTTTACAAATCTATTTAATACTTTACATGAACTACATGCGAAATGTAGTTACCGAGTTCTTTGTGCAGAACATTACATTATATTTTAAATATTGCATAGTTAAAATTGATAAAATTTTTGTTTTTGTAAAGATTGCTTTTCACTTTTATTTCGCATACATATATAATATATAGATTTCTTTATATGTTGATTTCAAAATTTTATGCTGACAACGCTTTATTATTAAAAAATTTCCTCCTTTTCCGGGAGTATTCGATTGGTTTAAGTGCTTATTTATTTATTAATTTTAATTTTTTTGTGACTTGATTGGTGAATGATTTGAATGACGTGTTGCAGCTGTGAATTGAATCGCTAAAATTGCATGGAGAGAAACTTAATTAAATGTCATTGATGTTTTATAGTTTTGTTTTACATGCTTTCAAAATTCTTCTTTATTTTGATGCCATTTTATTTCTTCTCGAAATTTGTTTTTTGAGCTTTTCAAAATTCATTTGTTTTTCAGAAATTTACGAATATCGGTTTTTTATGAAAGCTCAATTTTCTTATTTTAATTTGAAACAAATTCGATATTGTGAAAAGTTGAAAGTCCATAAAGGGATTTTTTTGGTTTTATGAGCTTTTGGAAATTCTTTTGTTTTTGAGCACATTTATTTACGAAAATCGATTTTTATATGAAAGCTCAAATTTTTAATTTAAATGTGAAACAATTTCAAGCTTGCATAAAAATGAGGTTTCTCAAAGAAGCTTATTTATTTTTTGAGCTATTGAAAACTCATTTGTTTTTGCGAACATTTATTTACGAAAATTGAAGTTGGTATAAAAGCTCAAAACTTTAATTTGCATCTGTTGAATTTGATTATCTGACCATTTAATTTCACACGATAAAATTAAAAAGACAAAAGTGAGCCTTTTTCACGCTTTACAACATAAGTTGCAAATACAAGATTGCGGACAGTTGAAAATTCATCAAAGAGCTTTAAGCATATTAAACCATATTACAATCATTAAATATGCACAATAGTTGGTGAATTTAAGCCTAAAATTAGACAGATTGCTCTATTAGTCATAGTACACTACTGAAATACACGCATATGGTGCAATTTGAGATAAATCTTGTAAATTTGATTAACTCAATGAAAATATTTAATTTATAGCAGTGTACTTTTTGTTCCAGAATTTACGAAATATACAATATATTCATATTGGGGCAAACTACAAGAGTTTTGAAAACCCCACACAACAGCTTTTGAGAGCTTCCTTGTGTTTTAAGTATAAGATAACAATAAAATAAACACGAAGCTGTACTGTGCGAAGCTTTTATAAACTTTTCATGATTTTGTATGTTATTTTACTAAACTTTGAAGAAATATGGTTTTAAAGTTTTTTTTTAATTAAATGTTATGGAATTATTATCGAAAGTAGACGCCGCTTTCGTTATTTTCGTGCTTTTGAAGTTGTAAGCTTTCTTTAACCACACTTCAAGACGCAAAATGAAGCAAGAAAAGTAGTGGAAAATACATCGGAAGCTTTATTTTTGTTCTAAGCTTTTACAAAGTTTGAGTATACTTAGAGCAATTATATATTTATAAGAAACAAATAATTATGTAACTCTTTTTAAAGATTCAGAAAAGTGTTAGAGCATTTCATAAGAAGATTTTAAATAGAAAAAGCTCACTTACCTTTAATATCTAGCTTTTTTTTTTATTAAATATGCGTTCTATGCAGGACAGTGTTTTTGTTTGTTTTGCTTGTGGAAACATTTTGAATATTCTACTGCTGGTTGCTGATTATTAAAAGATGAGCTTGTGATTGATATTTGATTGATATTTTTAATGCTTTTTTCGTTCATTAATTTATTCGGATATTTACAATGTGATGTTGATTGTGGATTCTTTTTCGTTTTGAGCTTAAAGTAAATATGTAGCTACAGATTTTTTGCTATATTTTTAATAATATTTGTTAATATTTTCTTTTGTATTTGTGGGTGAAATAGAAATTTGTATATCAATTAATTACCATAGTTTGCAGAATAAAAATTAATTATTGTAACTGAGTGAAAAAATATATGATGACTGTCGTGTCGTGTGTTTTTGGCTTATTCAAAGCATGATATTTTGTTATTAAGATTTTTAGTTTAAATAATGAAATTTAGTTACTGAAGTTAAGCGATTAATCACATAATTGAACTCAAAATTAATCAATTAGTTCAATTTTAACGCATAAATTCAATTACCGTTAAAGAAATACTAATTAATTGCCACCCAGAAGAGTTGTTGAAATTAATTTAATGATTATTCGTTGATTGATTTTCTATTCAAATAATAAGATAAGAAAATACCTTTGTTTTTGTTGTGTAATAACAATCAAATGGGACTTGCTTCTCTTTATTTTTTGCATAATGGCATATTTATTAATAACTTTGTTTCGCCTACATATATGTATATATGTATGTATTGCTAAAATTTATTAATGCTTTTCATTTAATATGACTTTTTTAAATGCTTTTTTTGTTGCTTATACTTGCCGTAAGCTTAATACTATTACATTTTATTTGAATTATTGAAAATTCTTTTTAATACTAATTTGCGCGATACATTTTGATTTTCGTTTAAAATTTATCTATGGTTTGTTGCTGGTGAGCTTTTTTTAGATTTCGTATATGTTTTGTTATTATAAATGATGAATTACTCTTATCTAAGTTATAAAAAAAAGCAATTAATTAAAATACTGTTTATAAGAAAATAATTTTGAATTTCAAAAAATTAGCTATATGAAAACGAAGAACTCTTACTTAGAGCTTTTAAATAAAAGCATAAGCAAGTTTCAAATAAAAACTAGTGAGAGCGATGACTGAAGTGAACAGTTTGAGCTTAGAATATTAGTTTGGAGATTAATTAATGAAATCAGAAATTTGGCTAAAAAAGAGACGAAAACTGGTAACATATCTAGATACAGTACGGCTCGAGATTTCGTTAAGCTTTCGTTCGAGTAATAAATCAGAAATTAGCGAAACCTTGAAAGTTAAGCTTTGATTTAAGCAAAATATGAAGCACTAAAAATTGAGCTTCTAAAATAGTTATTGATTGAAACAATGAGTGTAGAAATAGGAAAACAAAATTTTCCTCAAAAATTTTCCAAATCATTTACTCAGCTTCTCACACACATTCAAGACTTTCCAATTATCTAATACTCTTTAAGAAAAATAAATTTAGAAACTAAATTAAAATTAAATGTCTTCGAGTTCAATCTTAAAACTATAAATTATTTTCCACTTTTATCTTATTCCATGTTTATATGCCTTAATAAATACAAATCATTCCTTCCACACTTCCAACGTCAGCCACACTTTAGTAAAGCCATATTAATAATTATTTTCATAATATTATTAATTACAATAGAAACACCTTCTGAATGCACCATATTTTTGTTTAACTTAAATCGCTTAGAAAACTCTAAACATCACATATCTGTTTCCTCTTTCGAGCAGTTCGAATCGTAGTTTAATATTAAATAAGCTTTAATCACTAGTTCTCGTGCACTCAATTGAGAGAAAACCCTATGTTGAGCAGAAGAGACAGCTCAATAGAACCCTTTGCCGTTGCTCATCATACTCAACACAGTTGCACCCAATTTCAAACTTAATCACATTAGTCATCATTTCAGCGTGTTGTAAATATTGTCGGCGACCTCCTCCAAATCATTTGCAAAGCTTGATGCCGTAGTGCCTATGCCGCCAGCGGCAACGCCATCGCCACCTTCTGCGTTGCTGCCATTGTGCGCTTCGTACGACATTGACGAGTTACCCTCTAGCGCCACAGTAGTTACATGCGCACGACTCTTATTACTCGCCTTGCCAGATCTGTGTGCACGCTCATCACGTTGTTGGTCATTCTGTAAGGGTTCATCACCCAAGTAAACTGTGTGATAGCTCACCGGACTAACAGAGTTGCAATTGATTTGCACACGACTAATCGCCAAACCGGTAGGTGGCGCAACCGCGCTGATCACAGTTTGGTCACTCGTCGATTTGCTGAGCACGCTTGTTACACTGGCGTTGCTGCTGCCATTCATTGGTGGCGCCGAGTAGCGCTCGATAGCGGTGTAGGTTAGTGAGGCATAATCGCCGTAATCGTCTGAGATCTCTGTTGAGTGTGTATCAGCTGAGAATGTGTCGCGTGTCGCCGAAGTGCATATGCCACCCATTGCCGAGACGGTTGTGCCGGCTGCCGCTGTAACATTATCGTGACATATCTCCGCATAGATGTTTTCCTTGTTGTAGTCGATCATATTGAGTGCCTGACAGATGTTGCCTGCTGGATTGTCTGAAGCTGATTCGTCGCTTGAGAGTACCAATGAATCGCGCACACTTGAGTAGGGTAGATCGTCGATGAGGCTGGTGGGTGTGAGTGGTGAGGTGTGTACAGCATGATTGCTAGAGTGGCCGAGCCCACCTGCGAGTAGTGAAAGACCGCCGGCAGCTCGTCGACCTGTTACTGGTTCGCCGATATTGAATTCAAGTCGTCGGTCAGTCGGTGCTGTCTTTGTCGCCACGTTGTTGTTGCCATTGTGCTTCAACTGTGCCATGGAGCGTTTGTTGTCGTGCAGTTGCATCTTTTGTGGCAGCGAAAAATTCAGCAGCTGATGCAAGCTTGAGGAGGATTTACTGTATTGACGTGTCTTAACATGAAACTCATTGTAGAGCTTCTCGGTGATGAAGGACTGTGGTAAAAGGTCTTGGTTTTCGAGATCTTCTATATCGGTGCCAGCCTCCGAGATGGTGTCGGTGTGTGGCAGCAGATCTGGTTTGCGTGCTGCTGCTCCGCCACTGATGAGTTCAATATCTTGCAGTGACATGGATTTCGTTATCGGCTTGCTGCCGCTCGTTTCGACTTTTTTGAATTTCTCGTCGATGGTAGCCAAAGTTGTGGTCTCTGTGTCCGAGCACCCGATATCCGATGCGCCGCCACTTGGTTCCGAAATAGATTCATGTGCATCTTGTGTTTGTGTATGTGGCTTGTCACCAAAACGCTCCTGCAAGAGCTTGGACATGTCAGAATAGCGTTCCATGCTCATGCGTTTCGCTTGCACATCGAGCTCGTATGAGGTCATTGTGTGTGCAGCATGCTTATCCTGCTTCCGGAACCACTTCTTCTTGGTCGATTGGAATACTTTCATTTTATCACTTATGCGATTCGTACTGACTGCTGCACTTTCGTATGCTGCTTGCGCGGCAGCTTCCTTCGCCTCCAAATTGGCGAGATCCGATTTGCTGAGAAAGATGATAGAATCCTCCTTCTCGTGTGCTGGTATTGTTGTCTTCTCACGCCTCAACAGCTTTGGTAGATGCAGTGGTTTGAGTATTTTCAAACCTTCACCGCGGCTTTTGGAGCCCGAACGTTCAGGACGATGCAATATCTCCACCTCAACCATCTTTAAAAATTGATCACAATTAAATTGACAGAATTTTAATATATTTTGCACATTGGGATTCGCCAGCATACGTTGTTCGCTCTCAAAACCGAGTGAGCTCTTCAATAAATTCATCTCTTTGGATAGATGTAGTTTACGTAAATGCAATGGACTTTGCACCTCCACATCCTCAATGGGGCAGGCGATTACCACATTCTCGGTGGTTATGTGCGTAATGCAAACATTCTCGGGTATCGCACCTTGACTGCCTTGTGGCCCGGAGATGTAGCGCAGTGTGAGCGGTAACTCCTTCTGTGGCGTTATCAACGCAGTTATACGATGCACACAATCCGGATTGACTTTCTTATTTGCCTCACTGCCAATACCACCGAGCTTCTGCAGTATTTGTGGTATGCCAGGCTCGATTTCGTAAAACTTGCCCTTCGTAGAGAGCGACACGTACAACACTTGTCGATTTTCATTCAACAGTTGTGCATATCGTCCCTTCTCCTTCTCTCGTCCATGATTGTTATTCGCTTTTGTGGTTACGCCACCGGTACAACCGATTGTTGTGTGATCTTGTTTGCCATCTTCGAAAACGGCAAGCAGACGAAATACTTGTCCTCCTCGCGCTGTGGTCTTCGTATACTGTGGGCGATTGTTGTTCGGTGGTGGCGGCGGTTGGGAATAGATTGATATACAACCCTCTGTGGGTGGGTTGCTTACGTTGGGCTGGGATTCCGTGAAGGCGGGCATATTGTCGACTGAAACAAATTTGTACACACGCTCGCGTACCAGTTGTATCAGCGAAGTGTATAGGGTAGCTGTGGGTAGACCCTTGTCGTTAAGCAGCGAGAAGTAACCTGGAATGGAAGAAATAGAGAAGAAAGTGCTGTTAGATACCGTAGCCTTAAGAAAGAGGAAAACTGTTTCATAATTTTTTGATTTTTAATTATTTTTTCTTCATTGTTGCGTAATTGATGCTGAAATAAATGTTTGGAGACAGATTTTAACCTCCAACGACTTTAATTTTTTAACTCGAGCCGTAGATCACGGCTAAGACAGAGGAAGTTTTATTGGAGTCAATCGTAAATATTCGGTTTAAGATTTAACTGACGTCTAGTTGCCGTGTATGTTTACCAGCGGTAAGGTTGCGAGTGGTTGTTGGCCTACATGAGCTAGTAAGCGTCAATATTCCGCTCGCCCGGCAAGGTTGTGTGCCGAGTTTGGGACCTGCCACGAAAACACTAGCCCTAATGAAAAGGTATCTAAGGCGTTGAATGAAAGCTCCAAACTTTGATGGCAGTAATCCCAATAAGAACTATGATTTGAAATCATGCATTTAGATTGTTCGGTCTTTTTATTTGGAAAGATTCGCCTGCCCAGCTGGTTATTGTCCTCGGAAATAAAAAGTCAGAAATCACTGCGGGCTAGGAAATGCTATGAACTGGACAAGGACCGTTGTCGATTTGTAATCGCTGAAGAGATTTTCGGAGGCCAGGCACCTCCTTCTAATTGGGAGGACAAAAATCTTACTCTAAGCCGCCTCCGAACGGCCGATAGATTTCTATGCGAAGCTTTTGTTTTTTTACAGAAATAAAATCGGAGTTTTTGAGATTCCCCCGTCGTGGTCGACCATATTTTTAAAATATAATTTCTATAATTTTAGATGTAAATCAAACAAGGACTCGAACCCTGGCCGTTGGAACGGCAGTACGCACTGCTAACCACTAAATATTTTAATGTTTGTGAGAGACAAAAGGCACGTCTACAGTGTTTCAGATGTGCGTTTTCCTTCCGTGAACCAACATCAAAAAGGATTATTTTCCATGCGCCTATTCGCCGCTGTGTAATTTTCGCCAACACATGGAAAGTTTCTTTTTTGGAAATCTGCAATCAGGAAAAGAGGAATACTGGAAAATTTTTCGCTGCAATACGTGACTTTCAGAAAGGATCAAGAATACCTGTGTAATTTTGTAGGAATCAGAAAGGCGGTTTTGAAACCTGTGTTCAGTGCATACTCCGTTCGTGAAGAATATAAGAAAAATTTTCCCATTCGGGGCTCCCAGAATTTTCAAGGAGTTGAAGAAAAGTCTTTTCACCTAATAAAAAAAATTACTTTATGGTGCGCTCTTTAGACCGGTGTTGTGATTGAACCTTACTTTTTTGAAAACGGCAACGACGAGACTGACACTGTCAGTACAAAAGAGGAGGAACACGAATTCGACAATATATGGTTTCAACAAGATGTTGCCACATGCCACACAACACGAGCGAATAAGGCGGATATGGGAGTAGATTCCCCGGCTGCGTAATATGTCGTCTTATTGATGCGAATTGGGCAATAGATATCATGGAACTTGACACCGTTTGACTTTTTTTGTGGGACTATACGAAATACTTTGTTTATGCGAATAATCTTTTAACTCTTTAGTACTTGAAAACCATCATTCGTTAGATTATGTCTCTTGATACCAATCAATATGTGCGAAAAAGTGGTCGAAAAGACTTCAATTTCATGACAAAACTTATTTAACATGTATTTTATTTACGTTTATTTTCAAACCGCAAAACAGAAAGCCCTTTAGTTATATGTTGCATAATCGCAGCCCACGTACACTGTATCATCCACAGCTACTGCTCATCAGCAGGCCATTATATCCTTACTCTAGTGTATGTGTACGACTACAAGTACACTCACTACTTACACACGGGTTAATTAAGATTTACTTTTTTACAGTTGTGCACTGTAAAAATACAAATAAATAAAGTTTTTCATTACCAACATGACCTCCACCATATGGCTTAAGTCATTACCCATTTTTATTGCATTTAGTGAGGGAGAAAACGTTTTTTTTCGTTAATCTCTGTTATATTTACTCTCTTTATATAGACGCAGCCATTTAGGAGGGTTCTTGCATATTTCTGCACAATTTAACATTTTCATTTTATGTGCTAATTGCAAAATACATATTTAGTGTATACATATTATATATATATAATATATTTTAGCAGAAAAACACCATACTAACTTGTTAGTGAGTTGGTGAAACATGCAACTTAGTTGCAAAAAAAAACTAATTAACACAAACTTATTCCATCCACAAGTCGCACGGGACACTCTTTGGCTCACGTAAGCATATCCGTGTTTATTTTGACAATATACTGAACTAGTAAATGTAAAACATTGAATCAGATCTTAAAACAACTTCGTATTTGGCAAATATTTGAGTTAAGTTAAGTTGAGTTGTATGACAGAAGATCCCCGCTATTAACCCACCAATACTGCACGGTGTTCAACTTAGTCTGGGATCAAAAGCTAAATTTCTAGGAGTCATCTTAGACAAGAAGCTTAATTGGAAAGACAATATTATTCAAAGAAAAGACGAGAAAGCTTCTACGGCCCTCTACATATGCAAACGAGCAATGGGTACGAAATGTGGTCTAAACCCTAGGATTCGCCGATGGATCTACATCTCAGTAGCAAGGCCAACGCTCCTTTACGGTGCGATCGTGTGCTGGCCAGTCATAAATAAAGCTTTAAATGCAAAACTATTAGATAAGATCCAAAGAAGGGCCTTAATGCACTTAGAAGCACGCCTGGTGAGTTTCTAAATGTGGTACTCAATATTTTGCCACTAGATTTGGTATTACATCAGTCGGCAGCAATGACTGCACTTCCTCTGAGAGAGTAAAAATAATGGTCTACCCAGGTATGGAGACACTCCACAGTTCTGGTTAAATACGACTTCATACCAAGTTATGCGGATTGATGTGGTTCAATAGTAGTAACTGGTAACCACTTTAGAATTCCCAGCAGCGAAGAATGGACAGATAATTACAATACTCAAAATCATAGCCTGGAAATATACATGAACGGTTCAAATCTTGAGGGGAGAGTTGGCAGAGGTGTCTTCTCAGAAAACCCTCCCATGGAACTCTCCTTCAGGCTACCTGACCATTGCAGTGTTTTCCTGGCGGAGATATCTGCTATCATGGAGGCTGCAAAGCAACTTAAAAAAAAAGTAGCAATAAAAGCACTGGGCTCGCTTACGCTAAGCTCAAAAATAGTGCTGAACTGTCGCCGATCTCTAAAGAAGATGTCAAACCAGAACAGACTGCCTCTCATAAGGCCTCCTGGTCACAGACATATCGAGGAAAACTGTAATTCGGATGAACTTGCTAGGCAGGGTACGACCAAACAGATTTTTCCCGATACATTCAAACAGCTTTTCAAGGAAATCATATATGATCAAGCCGCTACAAGGTAGAATAATATCATATACCTGTCGCAAAACCAGGCACACATGGCCGAAATGGGATAAGAAGAGATCACGAGATATAGGCTACTGTCTGATAGAACGCCATGCGGACAAACTAGGGGCTCCTTATAAAAATACTGCAGAAGCTGCAAGGAGGATGAAGAGGAGGAGACGACCACCCATCTCTTGTACGACTGTCCTGCATTGACCAGGGCGAGGTTTCGTAATTTTCTGACCCTACTGCTGAATGGTCTATCCAAGATAGCTGACGTCAAAGTCATGCATCTAATTAGGTTCATTAGAGAATCAAAATGGATGGAAGATGAAGTCTGATTGTTTAAGTTTTTGTGGTATCACAATAGCTGTAAGTCAGGATAAAGTGAATCAGGTCTGATAGATTGGTAGCCACCGTAAGCTAACCTAACCTTGAGTTTAATTGTAGTGTGCGACAGACTCTTCCTTTTCTTGGTAGCATAACAAATGTGACAATAAACATTTGAAGCTCCATTAAACAGTTAACTGTTTTTACTCCTGTCGCTGGGTTGATGGTTAACGGAAAATAGGGATTAGATAGTTGATCTTCTTTCGTCCAGCGCAATCAACCATTAGAGTGATGTGTCGGATAATGCAGCATGTGATCTAATTTAGCTGTTTACTTTTCAGTAGATTGAGGTATAGCTGAATAGTGTACCTGCTGTACTGTGGTTAGGAGAGTTCCTGCTCTCGCTAGCTCGTCCACCGCGCAGTTTACCTGGGATGTCCCTGTGTATGTACATCTTCATTTCAGCTGTGTTACCTTTATTCGAGACTTTGTTTTGAAGGCTTTTGTATATAATATTATAGATAATGACAGCGTAGCTGTAAGAATGTGAGTAATGGATAGTATTGTAACAGTAGATCGTAGCAGTCACTTCGCGGCTTCTATAATTAGATTTGATTCTGCTTAAAAGAAATAATATTTGAGCCCCTCCTAAATTGTGCTTCCTTCTAGGCTGTACTGATTTTAATCTTAATGTTAAAGCATTTCTGAATTTCACAGTAAAGATCGTAAGGTAAAACACAGTTGAAGAGAGTTTCCATGGTTCTTAAGGTAATCTCTTCCCTGAGAGGGGTATTTTGAAGTGTGTCTAGTAATACAGGAGAAAACAGTCCTCTTTCTTTGGAGAGGACTTCACAATATATGGTCTCTTCGAAATCTATTGCTGGAAAAGTTTTTATTCCTCTACATATATCGAGGAAGTTGCCAAGCATGTATTCCCTCATAGAAAAGGCTCTTTTCGTATACCTAACTAATATCATACAGGTCTGTTTCGACTGTTTTGTCCTTAGCATAGGCGTTTTTCTTCCTTGAAACATTATTTCGGATTAATTTTTGCCGTATACACATTACGAGTAGTTGTGCATAAAGATTTTCAAACGTGTTTAAAAGAAATCAAGTGAGATTTTCATTAAAAACCCGGTATTTAGATTAAAGCAACGCTCTAATCATTCTTCATCGTAATAAACTTCAATAAGAGCATTTCTTGAAAAAAAAATGAAAAATTTTTAATCTGCACCAATAACAAAAGCATATCGTATAGCTCTCTCTGAAACCCAGTGTC